GAGCCGAAGGCAGTCGCTTAACCAACTGAGCCACCCAGGCGCCCAAAAATAAAATCTTTTAAAAAAATAGAATTCCAAGATGAAAACAGAAGAGCATTAAACTAAGGGCAAGGTTATACTGAATGTGGGGCCCCATGAGGCTGCACAGGTCTCATGCCCATACAGCTGGCCCTGGATAGGGCTAAGATATGCTCTGTCCCCACAGGAAGGCCCTCTGTGGGCCACTCCTCTCCCTACCATTTTGGTGAGGCTTTCATGGTATTGCCTCCTCTCCATTCCACACCTGAGGGCATTTGCAAGAAGTATCTGGCCTTGGAAGAGACTTGGGGCTCAGATGGAATCTGTGTCCAGCCAGCCAGCCAGCCAGCCACATGCGTGCACAGAGTTAGGCCTTCCAGTCATCTCTGGGCTGTCTTGGAGATCTAGAACTGATGTGTGCCCAGCATCGTGTACGAAGGTGTTTGAACTGAGTGTCTTCAGGTAGAACAGGCTCGTTCTCATGAGGCCATGGTCCCTCTACTCTGAATTGCCAGAACCTGCTACAGAAGATGCAATTGCCTGGCTGATGTCTGAACGTTTTAAAAACTGAGAGCCTCATGGGATGCCTCATTTGGCAAACCATCTGACTCCCCCTGCTCAGTGGGGAGTCTGCTTGAGATTCTTTCCTTCTCCCTTTGCCCCTCCCCCCTCTCTAAAATAAGTAAATAAATCTTAAAAACAAAAAAACAAACCTGAGGACCTCAGGTCATGATCTCAGGGTTGTGAGATCTAGCCCCATGTCAAGCTCCACACTGGGCATAGAGCCTAAACGGGATTCTTTCTCTCCTTCTCCCTCTGCCCTCCCCACTGCCCCCCACCTCTGGGCTCATGCTCTCATTCTCTCCCCAAAATAAAATAAAATGAAATAAAAACCAAGAGCCTTATACCTCACAAGTCAGCCCAGCTCAATTTCAGCCAGATATCCCCTGGGGGACACAGGGAGGGGATTCTTCAGCAACTGGTTCTCCTCCCCAAAGACAACCACTGTTAATTAGTCTTTGAAGATCTTCGCAGAGATAGCGTGGCTTGAGCTGATCTGGATTTTTTTTTTTTTTAAGTATGTTCTACGCCCAATGTGGGGCTTGAACTCAGGACCCCAGGATCAAGAGTTGCGGGCTCTACTGACTGGGCCAGCCAGGCTCCCCTGAGCTGATCTGGATTTTAATCCTGATTCCACTAATTAGATGGGGTTATAGGGTTTATCTGGTGCTGACTAGAGCACATTTTAAGAGATTCGTTGATATACATCAAATAACTTTTAAATGCCTGTATCTATTCCTAGTTAAATTATTGTCTAGCCTTAATAAGAAATATTTTGCAGACATGCAAACGAATGAAGCAGCTCCTTAGGTAACAATAGAAAATATCTCTAAGATGTACTAGATAAAAGGGCAAGAGGTGCCGGTAGCATGCCAGTTTTAAAAGAAAACGCACAGGGGCGCCTGGGTGGCTCAGTCGGTTAGGCGTCTGACTTCGGCTCAGGTCATGATCCCAGGGGCCTGGGATCGAGCCCCGCATCGGGCTCTCCGCTCTGCGGGAGGCCTGCTTCTCCCTCTCCCGCTCCCCCTGCTTGTGTTCCCCCTCTCTCTGTGTCTCTCTCTGTCAAGTAAATAAATCTTTAAAAAAAAAAAAAAAACGCACATCGTGTGTGTGTGTGTGTGTGTGTGTGTGTGTGTCTGCTGTTTACACTGATCATCAAGCATAATCAAGAAACCAATTTTGGTGCCACCGAGCGGGAAAGTGGAAGACAGGAGTCACAGCAGTCCTCCTCCTGTAATCTCTTTTGTACTACTTGAAGTTTTTAGCAGTTGGGTGTTTTCCTATCTAAAAATAAATCTTCTTTTTTTTTTTT